TAAGTATTAATTTTTTTTAAAAAAAAATGAGAATATATTTTTTTCAATTGCAAAAATGGTCACTTAGAAGTGAAAAGACAAATATACCCTCACGTGGGAGGCACATGAGGGGTTACAGCAACAACTTAATGAAAGTTAAATCCGGGGACCAATTCCACATAGAAACCACTCAAAAAGGACCATGAATCCAAAAAACTCGGGGTTTGGATTAAAACCCCAAAAATTTGCATACCACAGGGACCATTTTTGCAATTTTGTCAATATTCTAATATTCTACTAGAATATTTCACAGATATTTTAAAAACGGTAAATTTTTTTATTTTTTTTTTTGGATAAAAAAATGACGAAAATAATATTTATAAATTTTTTTTTTGTAAAATTTTCAATTATTTTTCATTTTAAAAATGTTTTTTTTAATCTACAAAATGAGTCGCTAGGATTGCATCTCCCCGTCTCACAAAATATAATGATCTGACATCAATATATATATATATATATATATATATATATATATATATATATATGGTCCTTAAGGTTTGTAGTACATTGCAAATGTGGTATAAGAGTAAAATAGTATTTTTTTTTTTTTTTAAATCTAACAGTTAAAAAGTTAGATTTAACGGAAAGAAAATTTCATGTAATTTTGCAAACCACGATATTTTCTTTAAAAATCTTCAAAATAAATATTTACCACGATTCACCAATTATGAAATTTTGTCTAAATTCAAAGAAATGAAAATTAAAGTCAAAAGAGTTGAGTCAAAGGACGGCAACCTTAACGACTTTTGTTCAATTTCGTTGAAATGCTGCTGATCACCGCCCATCGAAACCAACCCAAAAACTCCAAGAGATGGCCTCAATCTGCTTACCGCGAACACCGGGGAACTGCTCCGGCGACGACGGTAACGAGGCAGAGGAAGTCTCAGCCGTTACGGTAAACGATTCGTTCCAAAGGAACGGCTCATATACAGATACTACTGGTAGTGGTAGAGGCTCATGGAAACACGCTGCGTTCCACGTGGCTACCACCATCGCCACTCCTGCCGCCTATGCTCCGCTTCCCTTCGCTGTGTCGTCTCTTGGATGGCCTCTAGGTAGTGAATTCGACCTGTAGGAATTGTTTTAGAAATTCTGGTAGTAGTTAAGTTGGATTTGATTTATGCTCACAAGGTGTTTGATGTTTTGCTTTGGGCATGTGAAATCACACAAGGAGTGCTTAGTTTGGTGGGTGCAACCTTAACCACATGGTATTCTAGTCTTCTGATTGCATCTCTATGGGAATGGGATGGGAAGAAGCACACCACTTATAGACATCTTGCTGGTAGCATTTATGGTCAGTTCTGCTCTCTTCTCCATTCATGAGTACATCAATCTCAAGAAAAGAAAAAATCTCTTACCATGAAAACTGTACTTTGGATCACTTATATATTTAAGTGATTGATATGAAGTTAATATGACTCCTTTGTCACATGATTTCCTTTAGCTTTCTTACTTGACCTATCTTTTATCATCTTTGATCTTCAAGGAAATTGGGGTTACTGGTCTATTGCATTTTTCCAGCAGGTGGCTTCTTTGGGCAACAATATCGCCATTCAAATTGCTGCTGGAAGTAGCCTTAAGGTCATTGATACAGTCAATTCATAGAATTAATTTCAAATATACATTCATAAGTACCAAATTTCTATTTTGTATTTACGTGTATCATCATGTGCAGGCAGTGTACAAATACTACCATGAAGAGGGTAGTTTAACACTTCAACATTTTATCATCTTCTTCGGGGTCTTTGAACTTGTTCTTTCTCAGCTTCCAAATATCCATTCACTTAGATGGTTAAATGCTGTTTGCACTTTTAGTACAATTGGATTCGCTGCCACAACTATTGGTGTCACAATCTACAATGGTAAAATCATATTTCAATCCATTTATATGAGCATGAGTCATATTTAATTTCTGATGGATCAAATGAGTCATTTTTTTTTTTTTTTTTTTGTGACAGGGAAGAAGATCGATAGAAGGACTGTAAGTTATAGTCTCCCTGGAAGCTCTTCAGCAAAGATGTTCAAAGCCTTTAATGGTCTTGGGGTTATTGCATTTTCGTTTGGTGATGCCATGCTTCCAGAAATTCAGGTAATTTGAATTAAAAAAAACAAAAGTAAAGTTACATATTAAAAAACAAAAAACAAAAGTAAGTTACATTTTTTGTCCCTATGTATATCTGATTTTTGCAATTTTGATTCCAAAAAGTTATATCTTGCAATTTTGGTCTCAAAAATATATGGCTTGTTTGGCAACGAGCTTTTACCTTTATAAAAAAACACAAATTAAAGAAAAAGCTTCGTTTGGGAGTACAAGATTTATTTTAGAACAAAAAGCTCCTTAACCAAAAGCTACTTCAAGTAACTTTTGAGAGATTTTAGCTTTTATGTTATATAATTTACACCTTTCAAAAGATTACAACTAATTTTTCCAAACACATCATCACAAATAAAAGCTCTAGCTACCAACTACTTTTTCCAAACATACCCACAGTCATTTTCCTAAATTTGGGACCAAAAACATTACAAGAACCTCAAATACGGACCAAATTTGCAAGAGAACTTTTTGGGACCAAAATCGTGAAAACCAGCTATACTCACGGACCAAAATGTAATATACTCAAGAATAAAGATAAAAAAGAAAGATTATGTATTACAAGTCGGATTATGTTGTAAAGTTTTGAATTTCGGTTATTGCAGAGTAGTGTTAGAGAGCCAATGAAGAAAACAATGTATAAAGGGATAGCAGCCGCATATATAATCATTGTGTTGAGTTACTGGCAATTGGCGTTTTTTGGATACTGGGCGTTTGGTTCAGAAGTTGAGCCGTTTATTGTTGCCTCTCTTACAACACCTGAATGGACCACTGTTATGGCAAATCTTTTTGCTGTCATCCAAATATGTGGATGTTTTCAGGTATTTTGCTTTTAAAAATGAAGCTGTAAAAACAAAGTAAAAATTGAAGTTGTAAAAACGAATTGTGAAAAACATGTAAAAATGAAGTAAAGAAAAAAAAAATGTAAGATACCTTAGATAGCCAAAAAAAAGATGGAACCTACTCTTACCTATTATAATGACCACTTTGGGAGAAGTTAACTGACCTTTAAAACTTAAAAGAAGTTATGTGACCAAATGACCAAAATTTCAATATTTTAGTGACTAATTTTGGTCTTGACCCTTTGTCAAATTGTTGTACCCGACTTTTTGTTAGGTAAATATACCATCTATTTGGAAGGAAAAAAAAAAAAAGCGAAATACAGAAAAGCATAACTTTGACCATTTTATCCATTAAGCTACCTAAAGTATTTTCGATAGTGATTAAACTATTGTATTTTTTTGACTATTTATAATAGTTCAATGGTCAAACTGATATAATAGTTAAAGACTTAACGTAGGTGTTTGCTTTTTGGACTCAACGGGCCATTAAACTTCGTTTTTTTTTTTTTTTTTTTTTTTTGTGTGTGTGTGTGTTTACATCCCTCTTTTCCGTGGTTCTTGATTGAAGAGGGATAAAATAAAAATACTTTTAGTTAGAAAAAAAAAAAATCAAACAAAGTCGGCCACCATGTTGCCATGTAATATGCCACGTGTAGGCCCTGCCATCTGTTTTATGATCTGTTTTTTGGTGTTGGTAAGATATATTGCAGGCCAACATACGCCTTTTTTGAAGAAAAAATGAAAAAGGCATCAAGCGAACAAAGTGGTGGTACTCGAGTTCCTTTGAAAAAGCATGTTATTATACGTCTGGTATGCACCTCATTTTACATGGCTCTGATAACACTTGTGGCTGCAGCCATGCCATTTTTTGGGGACTTTGTGTCCATATGTGGAGCCATTGGGTTCACCCCACTTGACTTTGTGTTTCCCGTATTAGCACATTTAAAAGCTGGAAAATTGCCAAAAAATTCAACCCCGATTCTCTTCTTAAACATTCTTATAGCCATATGGTTCTCTGCGGTTGCAGTTATGGGTTGCATTGGTGCTGTTAACTTCATCATAGATGACATCAACACTTACAGCTTCTTCCACGATATTTAATATAAAGATAACCGAGGGACCGTTTTTGTAACTTTGTAAATCTCACAGGGACCATTTCTGTAAATCTTAGTTTTTGCCAGGGACTGTTTGTGTAACTTTGGACCAAAGGTATTTTTGTAATTTTTTTGAAAAATGAAGGCCTCTTTTTTATTTTTCATGCAATTTAACATTTAAGAGGGATGTATAATGCTTTCTTTTTGTAGTTTAGTTATTATTTCATGTCTTATTTGCCACTTGTATGTATCATTTAATTAATAGATGACGTCAGGCTAATGGTTGTTTGTCGTACACGTTAACGGTTTTCTATAGATAGAAATCTAACCGTTTTCTCCCCTTTTTTTTCTCTCAACCTCACCCTTTCAACATAAAATCTCCTATCAATTTCCCCTTTGAACTTTCAATCGCCACCACCATCTTCGTAACCATCCTTCATCACCACCACCATAAATAACCCCTTTATACGTTTAGAAAAGAGAAAATTAAAAAAAAAAATGGCAAACTATGCCACCCTTTTAATCCTTTTATTTATTGCCTTGTCGATGGCAACAATTGGGCATTGCAGTTGGATCAGCGGTGGTGCTCCTCCCCCAGCTAGTGTAGGAGAAGTGGACCTAGGATTCGCCGATGAATTAACAGATGAACTCACCCCTGGTCCAAACGGCGAGCCCACCAAAGAGAAAGGTGGAGCCGCCTCTGGACCAGGACCAGCTGGCGATTTCATGATCCAGGGAAAAAGATCAATCTGGGAGGGGTTTGGCGGTGTCGGGGGTGACTTTATCAACCAAGGAAAAGCAAGCGTAACCCCTGACTCCGCTGAGACGTTTATCGTCCAAGGTAAAATTTACTGTGACCCATGCCGCATCCAATTTCCAACCAAAATCAGTTTCCCGTTGCGAGATGTCAAAGTCGTCCTTGCTTGTCACAAAGAGAATAGCGCTGAGGAAACTTATAGGGTTGAAGGAATGAGTGATGAGAATGGAAACTATAAACTCAAGGCGGTTGGTGACCATGCAGAGGAGATTTGTGAAATTAGTGTCACTGAAAGCCCAGAAATTAATTGTCCCGACCTTATGGATGATGAGAACCATGTTAGGGTTTCTTTGACCACCAAACATGGAATCAAAGGCAGAGCTCGGTTTGCTAACCCACTCGGGTTCATGGCTGAAGTTGCCGATCCACGTTGCAAGGGGGTTCTCGACGAGCTTGGTTTTACTGGAATATAAATTCTTTTATTAATTTTGATCCTTATTATTCTAATTCTTGTATTTTGTTTGGAAATTGTAATCTAGGAAATTAATAAGAGCATGCATGCTCGGAAGAAGAAAAAAAAAGTCTTATGTATAGATATTGTCTTTATATCAATGTAAAATTGTAAATGTATGTTGTAACATGAATATTAATGTTATTTTGCTCCCCATTCCCCAATCTTTAAATTTTCTCAGTTTTGGCCCTCCTTCAGGCCATATTTTTTTAGTCATGTTTTTCTAGTCATAGCTAATGTATCAACCAACTTTAAATTTAAAAAATAAATAAATAAATAAAAAGTGTTTTGTGGGTCATCTATCATGCCATATACTAAAAACAGTAAATCACGATTTTGCAAGAGTAACAAAGGCAGAATTACTAGCAATAGTTGCAAACTAATAAAAAGTTGAGGGTTCAAAGGTGACAACATTTGAAAATTCACCAACATATGTAGTAAAAAAACCACAAACCTACAACTATTTAGTAACTTAACACTTTATAATTAGCCATCTTGTCTCGTACATAAACTATAAAACTAGAACATCTCAGCTTCTTGTCCTTCCATTCCTTACACTACGCGAAAACCAAAGGAGGGCATAGATGTCAAGTCACCGGTGCCGGTGCCGGAGTCGAAGTTGTAGCTGGAGCCGGAACTGGAATTGGAAGCGGGGTCGGAATCGGAATCGGAAACGGGGCGGGAGTCTTTCTAGCATACGATATCTCCATCATGTATTCCTTAGCTGATGAGCCGATTATGACGGAAAGTGTCTGTGAAGTTGGCTGTGTCTGTAGCCACAGCTCCATGAGATTACCTAGCAGCAACGTTGGCACCAGTGGTTGACCCATGCATCTGAGCTCAACCTGTTGGAAGGGCAAAATGGTCTTTTTGCATTGAGAGAGTATTCTTGAAACAAACAAGATATAACAAAACAATCACGAATTTGCCCTGCCCTCCTCGACTCGAATATGGAATACACTATGGTTAAGTAGAAAATGAAAGAAGCTTGATCATAAAAAGGGTAAAAGAGTAATTTGCCCCCCATAATAGCAACATACTTACATTTTTTGTTAGTAAAATGTGCCTTTTACTTTATTTGGGTAGGGAGATGTAATGTAAGTATGTTGCTACTAATACTATGGCTAAGGAATTGTAAGTGTGTTGCTATTATGGGTAAATACATTGCCTATGTTGGTAAAAAAGTAAAGAAAGTTCCTATTTCTTGCCATTTGCCCATATCAGAACGTAAACCCAAGCTACATATTACACACATCAAAGAGCAAAAGGAGCAGAAAGTATGTTATCTTCCTTTACATTCGATATACATATGAATATAATAATAATAATAATGTCAGAGACTTACCTCATGTTCACTTCCAAGTTTCAGTTTGCTCATGACAAACTTCTGGATAATTGAAACAGGTATGTTTGCATCCCTGAAACCAATTTAAAATGAAATTTTCAATATATAACCAATGAGGAACTACTAGGTTCAAGTCACATACATGGGACCCACAATCCCATCTTCCATGTAATATGAAACCCTGTTATGCAAATAGGCTACAAAAGGGACAATTTTGGTATTTTCTTTTTAAAAGACAATGACACATGATTTATAGTCAAGCGCTTACGACCTTCTAAATTGCTTTATCAAAAGAAATTGGAACATTTTTTTAACAATAGCTTAACATAAGTTATGAAATTTAAAAGAAAAGAGAAAAAGAGTGTCCAGGGGCACATTAACTCATTTTGAAATGTCCTAAATTTTCTTGATTTGACCCATTACCTAATCCACCCATTTTGCTCCTTGTAGAGGCAAGACAACAAAAAATTTCCTCAATAGTTTAAACAACAAGTGCACAAAGTATAATTAAAAGCAAGATAAAACTTAAAGCATAGGTATTTGTTTATTTTATGCATTTAGCAAATTGGGTCAAGACTTTCAACCTGTTTAAACCTATTTTTTTTAATAGGTTGGGTTTAGGGTTAGAAATTTTTACCCAAAAAAAAAAAAAAAAAAAAACAGTAAACGGGTCAACCCATTTATCTAAGAGATCGGTTGGGTTGGAAATCTTAAGCCATTTAGCTGGTTATGGTTTCCTGAGGTTCTAACTCTTTTTTGAACAAAGGGAATATCCCAATAGAAAACAGAAATAAAACACATATTTCTAGTAGCCTATTTGTAACATAAGTGATTTATAATGAATGTAACAATCAAGTGACATGGATAAAAAGTTCAGGGATTATATAAATTTACTATAAAGTATCATGACAAATGCGAAAAATAAATAAACTGAAACTAAGGAAAAAGACATAACTTTTGGACAGCCTTTACAGATGCCAAAAACTATACTCTTTTGCAACATCAAATGAGCTATTCCAATTTTAAAATTGATATGCATATATTTCATTTTTGAGGAAAATCAAGAATTGCCTCTAAAGTACATGAAATACAGTACCTAGAAAATGGTGTAAACAATGTTAAAGAAAATATAATTGTCTATATTTCGAAAATAGAATGAATTTCCAAGTCAAAGGATGACAATTTAGTGGGCTGATAAAAGGTCAAAATGTAATCTTTTTTTACTACCAAAAAAAAAAAAAAAAAAAAGAATATGCTGAGAAGCAGTAAGACTATATCTAAAAAGAACACAACTTTTTAAGCAAAAAACTACCCATAATCCGTATATATTGTAGAAAATTGCTACATTATCCTGAATAAATTATGATTTAAATTCCCAATACGATTCATTATGCTGGCAAGGTGCAGTAGAAGAATGTGATGATGGTAATTTATGTGAAAATGAGTCAACTCGGTTATATTTATAGCTAATAATAATTTAATATCAGGCCAAATGAGCAAAAAGAGAAACTCACTTTAGTCTGACAAAACTTCCTTCTATCTGGCCCAATGGTTCACCTTCCCTGAAAAAATATAAAGGAAACTTAACAAGTGAATATAAGAAACAAAAAAGTTTTTAACAAGATTCAAGATTCATTCACTGTTGTTGAGGTGAAATAAAAGTATAAAACCACTCACTGTTGTTGAGAAGGCACCAAATGGAACCAAATAGGACTTATTCTTTTCTCCATTGCAGCATTATTAGCATCAGCATCCATTACAGTGGCATTACCTGCATTATTTTTGCGTTTTTTTCTTATCTTTTTGGGTTTTGCAGATTCTGTAACATCCACATCAGACCTCCCATTCTCATCTTGAAATTTTGATCGCTTCAGCTGATCTTTTCCTTTAAGTTTACGCAATTGCCCTTCACTCTTTGGGGTATTTTGTGGTTCTGATTTCACACTAGACCCTTGTGAAGTGAACTTAGACGATTTACTCCTATTTGCCACTTCCACCAAATAATTCAAAGGTTTCCACATATCAACCTTCCCATTCTTTGTTTCTTTATCAGGTGAAGGGGCACTCGATGGTGAAGAATTCTGCATGAATATTGTTATTTCTCATTACAGATTTTAATAAAAAAAGTAAAAAAGAAGTATGTATTTTTAAGAAGAAAATGAGTACATGGTTCTGTGTGAACTTGTTTGAAATCTCACGAGAACTCGAGCTATCTTGGTGATCATCCATGGAGTTTTCTTCTTTCTTGACAGATTTCTCAATAGAGAAAGAGGACCCACGTGGTTTCTTTCTTGAGGGTACTTTTGACCTTTTGCCAGTCATTGTAGTTTGTGTTGACACTCTAGGAGTGCTGACTACAAGTGATGAGAGTGATCTTTCTTTTCTTCTTAATGGTAATGTAACTGAAGGCACAACTTCAGGGGCCTTTACCCTTCTTCTTTTTGAGGGAAATATTTTCCCTCTAACATCTTGCAAACTATGATCTGGCCTGTTTAATTACAATAATCAAATATATTAATCATGTTTCAAGACCATATCCTGTATCATGAACATTTGTTTTCTAAAGAAAATCATGTTGATGAATGAAAATGAACAGATATGGGTTTTCATTAAATGAAGTACTCAAATTAACCTAAAAAAGGAAAGTTAACAATCTGATGCATTTGGAAATGTATTAAATATAGGATATATGGAAAATAATATATACCAAAAAGGATATTATCTACAATATATCATCAAAATATAACCTAATAATGAAAGAAACAGAACCTCTGGATTTGTTGTACAGCAAGTTGTGACAGTGTTCCCTAAATTATAAACATTCATAATTCTTCTCATTATAACAGGTTTGTAAACTATAATAATGTTCTTTATAGCCACATTATGCAAAAAGAAAAAAAAATACATATAACTATAACAGATATATCAAACTCAATTCTGCAACATGGATAAAAATTAATAATTTAAGAGCATTGATAAATGACATAATGTTAGAGAGAGAATGACTGACCTCAGTTTCTCTAAAGGCACACATCCCAGATCAATATTGCATATTGGACAACATTCAAGCTCATCATCTGTGAGCTTCTTATGAATACATTTCCTGCAGACTGAATGATGTTCAAGAGAGGCAAAACACAATTAGCAAATACGCATTTCTTAGAATTGTTAGACATAGAAAATTTAAACAGATAGGTTTCGTTGTAAAAGTTTTCAACTAAAGAAAGGCCAAGTCTTTGCTATTTTTGGGAAAAAACAAGATATACATAGTTACATAGAAAAATTAGGGGAACTGAAAATTATGCCCCGTTTTGTCAATTCTGTTTTTAAAGATCCATGAAACAGAATAATACTGGGAAATATGTAGGAAAATTTCAGCCAAATTACAACAACTACGTTTATAAACAGCAAAGAACAAAAACCACGATATCAGATTAATGGAAAAGGTAACCGGTTCATTCCAATTAATCAAGTAAGAAAAACACATGCTTTTAGCCATTCAACATGAAAGATAAAAGATTAAAGATAAACAAAGTATTAATTAAGAGAATCATAACCAGATCACCATGAAGAATCCCAATTGTGAACTCGTACATACCAACAACACTTATAAGTTAAACAAACCCAGATCGAACTCAAACTCTTGAAGTGAAGGTTATGATTGAATTGGATGAGCAACAAGAGAGAGAAATACGCACACGTATGAAGGCATTCGGGGATAGTAGTGGCATCTCGAAAGAGCTTTTTGCAGATAGGGCATGTCATGCATGCCGCTACCGATTCTCTTCGTAATTTCACCACCTGAGTATTTGACATCTTCACACAACACCACCAAGCAATTCACCAACAAAGCCCAAGCAGCCCTCTTCGTAAACACACCACACACAAACACAAACGGCCTCACGCACGTAGTTCCTAAAGGAGGTGCATGTTAGCAACACCGTTTGGGGAAACACATTGAATTTACGTAGGTAATTTGCCTGCATTGAAGACAAGAAGTGAGATCAACAACGATTGATTCAACTCTCAAGGCACTAACATATATGCATAAACACGATATACGCAGCCACGTGTGTGTATAGAGATATATATATATATATAGATAGATATATAAGGGGGAGAGAAAGAGAAACTGAGAAAGCGAGCAACATACCCTCGATCTATGAAGATACGATTTGAAGATTGAGGAGGTGGGTATGAATGATTTGCGAAGAAACGACGTGGGTTGGTGATGAATTTGGACAAGAGGCGTCGCTAGATCATCTGTCTGGGAGTCGAAATCGAGAGTTTTAGAGAGAGAGAGAGAGAGAGTAGAGAGAGAAGGGTGGGTTTCGTAATTGTAAAATGGCATGGACCGAACACTTCTTTGGTTTATTAAAGTCTTTTTTTTTCTTTTTAAATTCGAAGTAAATATATTATTCGGAAAATCGCATATATGATATAACATCTCGATTTTATTTAATTTTATCGATCTATTTATTTTGCTTTTTAAAATCACAATTAATTGCATATTTACAATCTTACAACACATCCAGTTATTCTACAATGTCATCTAGAAATATTGGCTTTATTAGTATCGACAGATTTCCTTGAATATGTAAAGTATAAATCTAAATCTTTATACAAATACTATTATATTAAATTATTAGCAGTTTAATAATATATCTTATTTTCATAATAACAAAGAAGACCCATATGAAAAAGGATGATTTAAAATATACAAAAAAATGTATATTTAGAATCATTTCTATCTTTGAGTTATTATATACAGTTTACAGGTTGCTTCTCAAATTGTAAAAGAATATCAAAGACCTTTATCATCTTATTTTCAATCATCAAGAACAAAATCTTAGTGTATTTTCATACCGGAAAACATGCCAAAATATTATAGTGCATGTTATGTTATCTTAATAATAAGACAAAAAAACATACGTGATTTGTAGAATGTCTAATTACAATTAATACTATAAATACAAAAAAAAAAAAACACTTTTCATGTTTTTGCCTTTATATTAGATGTCACTTGCGAGCCGGTTGTTTTTATCATACGAAGGAACAACTATTGATATCTACCTCTTCTATTTCATTCCAATGAGATTTACAGGTCTGTTGTTGTTGGTATATAAAAAAATAAATAAATAAATAAATAAATCAAATCGTTTGATTTAAATGACATATTGATATTATATGACCTGATATATTGATTATATCTCTAGACACTACATTACATGCATATTATTCTTGATTATTCCACATCAAGAAGTCTAACTTGATTCCGAAATCATAATCTTGAGACATAGATCGGAAAAGTGTCAATGACATATTACATAATGAGATATGTCTTATTTATATATGAATTTTACAAAACAACATTTTGTATATATTTTATTTTAATATTTTAAACATTATTATAAGTTAAATATATAGATGACAGCTTATAAGTATAAGTAGTTTAATTATTTATTTAGCTATTTATTTTTTTCTTTTTTGATAACTACCATTATTTTCGTACTTAATTTTGAAACGATAAACAAAGTACGAAGAGGATAAATTAATGGATAAAGTACGCCAAGTGATAACATGCGCCGGTGGAGTGAAAGGGCCAAAACTGCACACCAGGTTTTTATTTTGCTATGACAAAATTACATAAATAGTCCCTACGGTTTAACAAAATAGGCACATATACACTCCAACTTCAAAAAATAGACAGACTCGGTTTTATGTTTTCTCAATATTTACAATGATCATCCCTAAGCCGTCAGATGAGGATATTACAATGATCATCCCTAAACCATAAAATCTCATCCCTAAGCCATCAAATCTAATAAAGAGCTGTTAAATTCCTAATAAAATGATTTCTTTACCATTTTTCCATATCTTTTTGTTTTTAGATTTTTATTTTATTAATTTTTTTATTATTAAATTATAAATGGCTCCACTCTACTCCTATCTCAACTCTACCACCACCAACATTGCCTGCCATCGCTCGCTACTTCCCATCAGAAACCACCGAAATGTTAGCGGAGATGGGTTTTCACCTAGACGACTTTTAGAGTTAAGTTGGTTGAAGTTGATGATTATACTCGTTGGATTATTACCATTTAGGAGAGCTAAGATTTTAGTTGCAAGCATTTGTTGTTGTTTCTAATGGTCTAAATGCATGGGATGTAAAAGGGATATCTCAAAACATCAATATCATACTGACAGAAGTGGATCTCCAATTGATCTTAGGTTTTGCTCTTCTCACCTTGATGATGGAGCATCGAGTCTGCAAAATCATTCATGTTATAAATATAATTTTCTTTAATAGTACTTGCCTGTACGAACTTTTATTCGCCTAAAAACACTTAGAATTGAATCTGATTTTGAACAATTTTATTTCAGTTCTACAACTTATTTTAGGATCAAGCTCAATGTTTCTTTGAAACTCAATGTAGCTGATGATCAAAACCTCAATCCAGATAAAAGTAGTGATGGAGAATGGGAGTGGTTGCCTAAGGTATGATGATCCAACGATTATTTCAACCTAAAGAAAAACAATACCAAAAAACCGATTGGTTTTCATGGTTTATGCTTTAATCATCGAGTAATCAAATGTATAACATGTACATACGTACCTTCCGACATCTTGCCATGTAACACCGATGACGGATTCGACTTGAGAGTACCAAGAGCAGCCAACATAGCCCACCGACAATGGATTAGTTCGCACTCCCTAAGCCTTTAAAGCCCAAAGACTTTATTGTATGGCTGGAAAGGTGTTGATTTCCCATACACATCTTTAAACCGGGTTTTGATTGTAACGCCCGTAGATCAGGGCTAGTCAATTTAGAGACGATAAGCATCAAAAATGATTTTTTGATGGAAGATTATTTAGAAGGATTAATCTTAACCAAGTTGTAGTATATGTCTCAAGGTTTCCGAAAATATAAAGAACGCCGAAATCCGAGTTATAACGAAGAAGTTATGACATGTCGAAGTTTCGCGACAGAACCGGCACGACACAGCGCGACGTAAATAGTGAATTTACGTTAGATCGACATTTGGCCTTAGCGATCTAAACGAAAGTCGTAGAATACGTTAAACCGAGAGCGTGCGTGAAAAGAACGCCCAAATCTGACTTCGTATGAGGAAGTTATGATTTTTCGAAGTTTCGGCTTAGCAGTGTACAACCCGAAGTTCGAATATGAGATCGAGCGAGATTTAGCCGAAACAATCTAAACGAGAATTGAATATCTCTTTGATAGTAGTCCAACGGTAAAAAGACAGACGAAAACGGACGTCAGATAAAGGAGTTATGAAGTTATAACGGAGTTTTCCTGTCCCGGCCTACTAAAAATAATATAATAAAAATAAAGTCAAAATTAGCCAACGGAGTCTAAACGAGAGTTGTAGAGCATAGTCTCACCTACGCGTGGATATAAAGAACGTCGAAAACGGAGTTCGTATGCGAAAGTTATGAATTTCTGAAGTTCGGGGCGTGAACCCCAAGGCTGTGTCAGAGCTCACGAGGTGAGCATATGTGGCTCACGAGGTGAGTCAGTTCACGAGGTGAGCATTAGTGACTCACGAGGTGAACAGATGATGGACGTCTTCCAGGGCAAGTGGCCATGACGAACGCAATGACGTATCGAGCTCACGAGGTGAATATTAGAAACTCACGAGGTGAGCCAGTTCACGAGGTGAATATTAGAAACTCACGAGGTGAACTCAGAAAATTCACCCTATAAATAGAAATCGAGGGTCAGCCGATTTTGGTTGCTCCTTCTCATCTCTCCCCCTCCTGATACTCTCTCTAAGCCCTATTTTAACCCCCTGAAGCCCCGGTTTCATCCCGAGACCCGAAGCAAGTCCCGAAGCCCGAGGATCCCGAGAAGAAAAGAGTTTCCGAGCCGAAGCTCTGCCCGCGAGAAGCCTAGTTTTTGTGAAGATCTCTGTTAGGGCGTGTCAGACCCAAAAAATAATAGGGGTACGATATACTCCAAAAGAATCCCACTATATTGCACTAAAAGGTAGTATAAGGCAAGCAGGGTCGATCCACAGAGACACGGGATAATTAGTCTATACCTCTTTGCGCAAGGAACTATGGTCACCAACAGTAAAGAGGGGGGTTTTGAATGCAATAATTAAAACAAACAATTAAAAACACAAGTAATCAACTAAAAGAGTGAATTAAATTCAGAAATGGTAAGGACTCCAACCTCATGTATGACAACTTAGCAATGTAATTCCAAGATAATATGATATTTGCTCAATTCTATCTAAGTTGGTACTTGAAAGTGTTAACAAGCTCTAACACTTCCCATTCACCACATTAATTAACCAAAACAAGCTCTTTGATTAACCCTAACCTTACTAACCTAATCTAAACACGCTCTTAGAATTAGATTGAAAGATTGCACTAAACTTTATGTGAATGTTCCCAACAACACCCAATACTCCTCACAAGCTCGGGAGCGTAAGAGTGTATGAATAAGATTTACACTAAATTCATTCAATAGAAATCAAATTAGTGCTTGTTACCTAGTCCAATTAACAAAACAATTACGGATTTTGCAATTAGATAACTTGAATAATCTAACCCTAATTCAAATGGCCAATAAGAATCACAATTAGAATCAAACATTCGATTGAGACAAAATCAAATTCACTAGATAGAAAATTGAAAGCAAACATCAGTTCATATGATTGAAATCACATCCAAATGTCAATACATAAAGTTGGAGAATTAGGTTTCTAGCCATTCATGACTAGAATAAACACAAACCTAGAAATTGAAATTAAAGTCTTACAAATTAAAATCCAAGTGTTTTCAAGCAACAATTGTCTTCAAAAAGCTCCCAAAATCGCCTCCTAGAACTCCCCAAAACGACCCCCTTTTTGGAACCAGTTACCTCCTTTAAATTAGAATAAAACTGTTTTTAAAAAACACATTTACACGCCGTGTAAATACGACACGTTTACACAGCCGTGTAATACTTATAAACTGACCTATAAAGCCAAAATCTTCATTTTCTTCATAACTTCCTCCTCGATGCTCCAATTGTCCCGAAACTTTGTCCATATCTCCTCTTCATCACCTCAACTAAGATTCTTCCTTCAAAAGTCCCTGAAATATCATAAAAGTGCGTGAATTGAATTGCATCATGAAAAATCCCGAAAAATATGCAAAATGCATGAGTTTAAATCTAAATGCAATGCACTTTTATGGATTAAAACTACAAAATGCATGCATGAAATGCATCTAACAAATCTCCCCAAGCTTGAACCTTTCTTGTCCTCAAGAAAGAACAAGAAAAATTTAAACTAGAGAAAATAGAATAAAGGAGAGGAAAAGAAAAGCAAAGTCAA